TTCATATTTCCTGTGCATGGTTTCACAGGAAATGTTACAATCCTGTTGGCTGGTGATAACTTAATTTGGTTTATAAAAATAACAGTCGTTAAAATGATATTTTTTACCGAAAGCTGCAACACAAATGATGTACCAATTATACAAAACACAACTTAAAGGGCTTGTTATTTCTTTTCTCAGAGCTGCTGAATACACAGGGTAATATTTATTTAGATGAGGTCTGTGCACAAAAAATAAAGGAATGTAAGTTGTGTTTTTGTCACATTTCCAAAGATTGCATATAAATCATATATGTATAAAAGTAAAATGTTGCTACATTAAACAATTTTCATGAGATTAGTCTATATGTACATATAAAGGTGCAGTTCTTTTATGTGCTTGAAATTGACATTTTCTACCCAGAGGACAAATGGCAATCTTATATTAAAATATTACCCAAGCTGAAAACTTTACAGAGCTAATGTTATAAAAGCCTAGTACAGACACTACACTACTCATCTTATCAGTGTTCATTTATTTCTGCTAGTAGATGTGCATTTTATTATAATTTGAAAAAAAAGGAACATCAAGGAGCCCTGGCCTTTCTGCTTGGAATTTTTACTAAGAGTCTATGCACACTGGCGTAAAAAAAACACACAGCGCTCTTGGCAGAAAAAAAACGCAAATTTCGAGCATTTTTGTACTACTGTTAAGACATGTTTAGCTTTTTTTTCTGCCAGAAAACTGCTCTCAAAAATGCAATAAAGAAGGGATTTTTTTCTGTCTCTAAACGTTAAGCTTAAAATATACCTCTAAATGTCCCCATGTGTATGGACACAGGACACAATTAGTTGTATCTACAGGCAAAATGCTAAACTTCTCTAGTAGCAGCATTTTTAAAAGCCAGTGTGCATGGACCCTACATTTTTTCACACATAATCAGATTACTTCTCATCTTTCCTCTTTTTCTCCCTGACCTGAGCTACATATTCAGTTTTAAGAAATACCAAAAATCCACTGCCATACCAAATCACAGACAAGGTTCATCTACAATAATTCTTTTACTTAAAGAGAGACTTTCACCTTGCCTATGCAGGTCAAAACGACATATACTCACATTTCCAATGATTCCCCACCTCTCTTTTTTTATCTGCAGCATGCATTTAAATGAATAGGGTTGTTGACTTGTGAGAGTGATGATGCCACTTTCTCAGTTTTTATGATAGTACTCAGGGATAGCAATTGGTTGCTTGACCCAAAAACTATCACAGGTGAGGAGGTCACATGCCCCTCTAGAGCTGGAATCGCAAGATATTTTGATGATATGGATGTGGCTGTGGAGAAGAAAAGACAGGGGAACGATTGCTGTTAAAGTTGTTAAAGTGAATATAGGAGGGCCGGGGGTGGGGGGTCCCTTTTAAAGACACTGCCACTTCGATGAAAACATGGATAAGCTGAGGTTATTTGTGTGAAAACAGCATATCAAGTATATATAAGTATATCTGTAATTTTGTTATAATAGTTGCATTGAGGTTGATTTACTAAAACTGGAGAGTGCAAAATCTGGTACAGCTGTGTATAGTAGCCAATCAGCTTCTAATTTCAGCTTGTTCCATTGACAATAAAATCTGGATGCTGATTGGTTTCTATGCAGAGCTGCACCAGAATTTGCACTCTCCAGTTTTAGTAATTTAACCCCCATTGTGCCTCTTTCCTTCTCCCTCTTCAGCCTTTCTATTGATCATTGGGGATACCTATTAAATTAAAAGCCAATACCAAGGCTTGAGAAATAGGAAAAGATAGGGAGAAGCTCAGCTTTACAACAAAAGTACATTTTGTAATTAATATAATAGTTCTGATATGTTTATCTGAGGTGGCCTCTACATATTATTTTTTTAGCATATGCTCGGTCTATATTGCTTAGATTTGTAACATGTTTTTGGCATATGCTTTCCATTTAATATATCTAGTTAAACATAGAAGAAAGAAAGAGAAAAATTTTATTGACTGTTATAGGTTACAGAATTTTTTTTAATTTAGATATGTTTATGTTTGTTTCCTTTGTTTCCCAATGGACATTCCCATTACTAATTATGGGCTTAATGTATAAACATTTTAATTATAATAACTAGAATTATTTTCCCACAGGCAATATTGCGATTAATTTTGTTAAGTATAAATTTAAACTAAACAGGTGGCAATGAGAAAGTAGTTATTTGTATTGAAACTTTAATACATTAGTCTTTATAAGGCGTGCCTGCTTATACCGTATTTTTCGCTCCATAAGATGCACTTTTTCCCCCCCCAAAAAAGGGGGGAAATGTCAGTGCTTCTTATGGAGCGAATATGGAGCGGCCGGTCTGGTATTTCCACCGCCGCCACCATGTCAGAATACCGGGCCAGCCGCTCGTCTCTTCTCTGCAGCAGAATCGTACCTGTTCCTCGGTCTAGCTCTGTAGTCTTCCGGCGCCGGCATCTTTAGTGTGGGCACCCGGCTGTGACAGCCGGGTGCCCACTGCTCATGCTCAAGAAGCGCTGCGCTTTGTGAATGGTCCAGCATCTTCTGGGACACATGACAGGTCCCAGAAGACTCCGGACCAATCACAAAGTGTAGCGCTGCTTGCACATGCGCAGTGGGCACCTGGCTGTTATTTGGGTGCTCGCACTACAGGGAGGACAACTCCACGGAAGTGGGAGGGAGTACTTGTCAAATTTAGGTACCCACTCCCCCTCCCCAAAGGTCCGCAGTCTCTTGGTCATCCCCTCTACTGTCTGCAGTGTCTGGTCATCCCCTGTACTGTCTGCAGTCTCTGGTCAACCCCTGTACTGTCTGAAGTCTCTGGTCATCCCCAGTACTGTCTGCAGTCTCTGGTCATCCCCTGTACTGTCCGCAGTCTCTGGTCATCCCCTCTGCTAGGTCCGCAGTCTCTGGTCATCTCCTGTACTATATCCGCAGCAGGGGTGGACTGACAACTCATGGGGCTTCCGGGCAATAGGAGATCATGGGGCCCCCTGTGACCCTGCCCACTCAAGCCGCACCCACACAAAGCCCCACCTACATATTACACTGCCCGCAATACATGCGTTTGTCACAGAATATCTCTACAGTATGTTCAAAATAATGTTTATTACACAAAATAAAGAAAAAAAACTTACATTAAAGAGAGCACAACAATGGTACATTTCAAAATGAAGGTTTTTATGAATTTTTCCTATTACTTCCACTGACACCAATGATAGGGCACTATTCCTTCCACTGACTCCAATGATAGGGCACTATTCCTCCCACTGATACCAATGATGTGGCACTGTTCTTCCCACTGACACCAATGATAGGAAATTATTCCTTTCACTGACATGAATGATAAGGCACTATTCATCCCACTGATACCAACGATGGGGCGCTATATTCCTCCCGTTGACACCAAAGGTGGGATGCTATTCCTCCCCCTAATACTAAAGATGCATGGTTTACTCCCACTGATGCCAGGACAATTTCTGATCCCAAAGACCACAGTCCGGCTCCCAAAAACCTGAAGGACAGTAAACTGGCCTTTTGATCTAAATTTGGGGTCTCCAAACTTTCTAAACAAAGCATATTCATGTGTTAGAATGGCCCGGTCACAGTCCAGACCAAAATCCAATAGAGAATCTGTGGCCAGACCTGAAAATTGCTGTTCCCAGATGCTCTCCATCCAATAACAGAGCTTGAGTGATTCTGCAAAGAAGAATGGGCAGAAATGTCCCTCTGTAGATGTGCAAAGCTGGGAGAGACGTCCCCAAAAAGACTTGCAGATGGAATTGCAGCCAAAGGGGGTCCTATAAAATACTGACTCTAGGGGGCCGAATACAAATGCCGCCACACTTTTCACAGATTTATTGGTCACAAATGTTCCATTTCTCATGAACCATTTCTCATTTTCCTTCCACTTCACAATTATGTGCCACTTTTTGTTGGTCTATCACATAAAATCCCAATAAATACATTGTAACATGACAACATGGGGGACATTTCAGGGGGGGAATACATTGTAACATGACAACATGGGGGACATTTCAGGGGGGGAATACATTGTAACATGACAACATGGGGGACATTTCAGGGGGGAATACATTGTAACATGACAACATGGGGGACATTTCAGGAGGGGAATACATTGTAACATGACAACATGGGGGACATTTCAGTCGTGAGGAAGACTTTTTCAAGCCACTGTATATATCACTGATATCTGTACACTGAGTGCTATTCCTTATATATAACACTGATATCTATACATTGCATGCTATTCCCTATATATAACACTGATACCTGTACACTGGGTGTCACTCAGTGTACAGATATCACTGTTTTATATAGGGAATATAGAATCGAAGACTACTATTGACCCCTTGCCTACAGGGCACTTATACCCCCTTCCTGCCCAGGCTAATTTTCAGCTTTCAGCGCTGTCACACTTTGAATGACAATTACGCGGTCATACAACACTGTACCCGTATGAAATTTTTTATCATTTTTTGAGACAGAACTTTTTTGGTGGTATTTAATCCCCTCAGGGTTTTTATTTTTTTGCTAAACTAACCAAAAAACAACTGAAAATTTTGAAAAAAAAGTTTTTACCTTAGTTTCTGTTATAAAATTTTGTAAATGAGTAATATTTCTCCTTCACTGATGTGCGCTAATGAGGCTGCAGTGATGGGCACTGATAAGGCGGCACTGATGGGCTTTGATAGGCGGCACTGATGGGCACTGATGAGGACGCACTGGTAGGTGGCACTGATGGGCATTGCCAGGCGGCACTGAAAGACAGTACTCATATATGGCACTGATAGGCAGCACTGACTGGCACTGTTAGGTGGCACTGACAGGCACTGATAGCCAGCACTGACTGGCAGCACTCATAGGCGGCACTGACTAGCACTGATAGGCAGCTCAGATAGGTACTGATATGTGGCATTTATGTGCACTGGTAGGCACTGATATGTGGCATTGATTGGCACTGATATGTGGCATTGATTAGCAATGATATGTGGCATTGATGTGCATTGATTGGCTCTGACAGGTGGCATTGACGGACACTGACAGGTGACAATGGACACTAACAGGTGGCACTGATGAGGCTACACTGATCATCAGGGCACTGATCAGTGCCCTGATGATCAGTGTAGATGTCCCCTCTGAGGAATGCCGATTATTTTATTATGCCTCATCTTTTAATCACTAAATGGACATATCATTTTTTTTATTTTTTATTTCTATTGTCTATCAATCTCCTTTATCTTTTTTCTCTCTTGTTCGTTTTTCTCTCTTCTTTCTTCTTTTTCCTCCAAATTGTAGCACTGTATACATTAAGCTAGATTCAGACCCATTGATCTCTGGTCTCTACATTTCATGTTAGTTTTAGGCCTCATAAAACTGGAAGTTTTCTTAACTCTCCTTGAAGTTTTTCCTCTTGGCAGCAGCGTTTTGGCAAAAATAAGCCTGATGCTTTTAGTAGTGTGTATCGCATTTAGGCGTGTTTAGCCACATCAAGTGACTGAGTGTTAATTATTTTCATTGGCCAGAATATTTTATTCTGACTTTTGAAATGAATTAACGCATAAGTGTTAAACGTGCCTAGTGTTAATGCGTGTTTATTTAGTTATTTAAGGTACTTATATATTGCTGTCAATTTAACAAGCGATGTACATACATATTGTACATTCACATCAGTCCCTAGCCCTCAAAGGGGTGTAAAATCTAAAGTCCCAAACTTACATTTATACATACACATACTAGGGCCAATTTAGACAGGATCCAATTAACCTACCAGCATGTCTTTGTAGTGTAGGAGGAAACGGAGTACCCGGAGGAAACCCACGCAGGCACAGAGAGAACATACAAACTCCAGGCAGGTGGTGCCATGGTTGGGATTCAATTCAATGACTATAGTACTGCCAGGCAGAAGTGCTAACCATTTAGCCACTATGCTGCCCATTTAGATGCATTTACACGCGTTTAGAAGCATCTAGCATTTTTTTGGTGCCAAAACTCTGCTGTTCCTGGATGCACTAGCAGTGGGTTTTTTATGCCTCTAAATTCTCCTGTCACTAAGTGCTTCTAAAAGTTTATGTGTGCATGGACACATAGGCTAACATGCAGGAGAGTTAGGAGGTATAAAACCTGAAAATGCCAGACATCCCTAGAAGCAGCTGTTAAAATGTCCAGCATGCGTGAGGCTTGCTCATTTCACATTGTATCCTTTTTTCCTTTACACTCTCACTCTTACAATTTCTGTACACCCAGTGGACATGGCCAGTTCCTTAGTCCAACACGTATTGATGAAACATATTGCAACTGGTCCACCCATAGTGCCATCATTTGCCTTATAACATTGAAAAGGGTTGCTATAGGTGCAGATCGGACTTTCCTTTTTGTATTGTCTGTACTGATACAGCATGTCCCATCAGACACACCGACTACCTCTCCACCGTGAAGTGTCAACCTAGTGAACTTTTGTTAACCTAAAACACCCAGTTAAGATAAAAAGAAATGAAAGATGGTCAAATATGTCAAAATCAAAATGACTGGAAAAAAGAGGGTTAGGTGTATAAAAATTAATATTGACCTTAATTTACCACACACAAAATGTATTAACAGCTGATTGATATGTGTGCATGCTTCTTTTTATCAGGTTCCAGATGGTGCAGTGGTAGCACTCGTGTCTAAGCAGGTGACAGAATACAATGCAGTCAACAACTCTACTGTATCCCGGACTTCCGCCAGCAGATATGGTGAGAGCATTTTTTGGCTGTTTTTACAAATTGCAAAAAGCTAAATTGTGTAGGGGCATCTGTCTTTTACATATATTGTTAATGTACATATTGTGCCTTTTTTTGCATATCAAATGCATATAGAAAGGTAAAGAGAGTAAAAGACAAATGATGATAAGCAGTCATTTTTAGTAGCCAATAAGATTTTACCCAGTTGGTACAAACAATCACAATGATAAAATTAAATTACTACTATGGATTTGTGTTGAGTTTGTCTTTTATATATTAAATAAATGCTGTTGTATTTAAAAAAATGTTATTAATGTGAAACAGCAGGTTAAATATTCTGCTTGGCCAAACTCCAAATTTTTGTGATGACTCAAATATGTTGAGCTGCATGCATGAGTTTAATAAATGATGTGCATTTCTGGAAAGAAACATGTAATATCATACCCATCACAGCAGTACTTGTCACACACTATTACACTGAACAGTTTTCCTAGTCTTCACAATAAATTGCTTCTTACAGTAGCACAGCCAATGTAGTTGTTGTAGTTGTAAAGACACCTTTACAAAAGCATACTTATTAATATCTGTAATAGATCCAGTGTCTATAGCACTTTGTTGCGTCTGTTGTGCCACGTTAGATTACCAAGAAGAGGCATTCAGATATTGCCAAGAGAATACCCATCAGGTGCTTAAACCAGGCTGTGTTTGCAAGAATATTAATTGGCTGTGACAGCAGATATTATCCTACTTTAACTTACCATATCTGTGTAATACTCTTAGAAAGGACAGCGCACATCAGTTTTGATATAAAAATGCTACTATGATGTCTAACAGAAGTTTCATGTCCTTTACAACTGATTGATCAGATGAGTTTGATTGTAGGAAGCAGGAAAATGCTTCATCAGTATGTTTCAGTAAAACAAGCTTTAAAGCGTGTCTTCAGCCAAAACATTTTTGAAATAGTTTTGGATAGAATAGATAAAGTTATGGACACCTGCCAGGTTTTATGATAGAGATTCCCCTTCACTTTCTGTTCTGGGAACAATGATTTACCAGACAGGAAGTAAGGTAAAAATATGCAACTGGGAAACAGGCAACTAGAAAAAGCTGACAGGGCTCTAGCAGTTAAGAAGTTAACAATTTCCTTTACTAAGCATAGTAGATTCATAGTTACATAATTAGTGTGGCTGAAAAAAGGCACAAGTCCATTTAGTTCAATCATAAAAGGAAAAACAAATTATATCCTATACCCACAGTTGATCCAGAAGAAGGCAACAAAACCCAGCAAAGCATGATCCAATTTGCTCCTGCAGGGAAAACAAAATCCTTCATGATCCTGGATATTCCCTGGATCAACTTTACCTATAAATGTTAGTATTCAGTTATATTATGTGTATCTAAGAAAGAATCCAGGCCTTTTTTAAAGCAATCTACTAAGCTGGCCAGAACCAACTCTTGAGGGAGTCTACATTTTCACAGCTCTTACTGTGAAGAAACCGTATTTGGAGATTAAATCTCTTTTCCTCCAGACATAAAGATTCCTTTGTCCTCATTGCAAGCCATTATTAAGCTTGTGATTTACCAGAACTCCTAGATCCTTTTCCACCATTCATTCCCCCCAGTTATACTCCTCCTAGTATGTATGATGCATGCATATTCTTAGCCGCCAAGTGCATAACCTTACATGTATCAACATTAAACCTCACTTGTCACATAGTTTCCCAATTAAACAGTACATTGAGGTCGGCTTGTAAGTTGGAGACATCCTGTAAGGACGTTATGCCACTACACACCTTGGTGTCATCTGCAAGGACTGAAATGGTATATTTAATCCCAGACCCTATATCATTTAGAAATATATTAAAAAGTAAGGGTCCCAACACTTAACCTTGGGGTACACCACTAACAACCCTAGACCATTTAGACTATGAATCATTAACCACTGCTCTCTGAATATGATCTTTTAGCCATCTTTTTCTATCCATTTACATATGGGTTTTTCCAAGCCTGTAGACTTTACCTTACACATTAGCCATGTGTGGGGAACTGTGTCAAATGCTTTTGCAAAATCCAAGTATACCACGTCCACCGCCACCCCTCTGTCCAAGGTTTTGCTCACCTCCTCATAAAAAAGAAATCAGATTTGTGTGACAACTTCTGTCTTTCATGAATCCATGCTGTCTGTTGCTTAAATTATTCTTTTTCCACCAAGAACTTATATATGTGGTCTTTTATTAAACGCTCCAGTATCTTCCCAACTATAAATGGTAAACTAACAGGTCTATAGTTACTTAGAAAATATTTTGATCCATTTTTAAATATAGGCACCCCATTGGCTTTACGTCAGTCCAGTGGTACTATGCCAGTCATTAAAGAGTCCCTAAAAATTAGAAACAATGACTTTGAAATGACAGAGCTCAATTCTTTGAGGACCCGTGGGTCTAAGCCATCCAGTCCAGGTGCTTTATTCATCTTTATTCTGACTAAATATTTTTGGAACATATCAATTGTGAGCCAATATGGATCATATGATGCTGTGTCAATACCATACCCATTATGGACAAGAGCTCCCCCATGCCCCTTTGTATACACAGAGCTGAAGAAGGTATTTAATAAATTTGCCTTCTCTTTGTCCCCAGTCACCCACTCTAGATTATTTTGTAAAGGGCCTACATGGTTGGACCGGACCTTTTTACTATTGATATATTTGAAGAATTTTTTGGGGTTTGTCCTGCTGTCTTTGCATTCATTTTCAATTTTTGCGGTCTTTATTTCCTTTTTGCATATTTTTTTTATATTCTTTGTAATGTTTAAATGATGATAGCGTTCCTTCATTTTTTTAATTAATAAAAGTTCTTTTCTTATTATCTATAGCTTTTTTAACTTTGTCTGCAAGCCACATAGGTTTGATTGTTAGCCTTTTAAACTTGCTGCCCATGGGAATATATTTTTCAATACAGTCTTTTTGAAGAACTCCCATTTCTGTGTTGTGTTCATTGATGCCAATATTCCCTCCCAGTCTAAGTCTTGGAGAGCGGCTCTCAGCCTTGGAAAATTAGCTCTCTCTAAAAATTGAGCATTTTTTATTTTTGCCATATGTGCTTGTTTTTTACAGCTAGCAATAAATGAAATCATGTTATGGTCACTGCTACCCAGATCTTCTTTTATATGGAAATTTGTAATAAGCTCTGCATGGTGTGAGTTTACCAGGTCCAGCAGAGCATCATTCCTAGTAGCGGCCTCTATGAACTGTACCATAAAATTGTCCTGTAGTAGGTTTAAAAATGTTTAACTGTTCCTTTTAACTGTTCCTGCAGTACCATTACTCCAGTTAATTTCCGGTAGTTAAAATCCCCATTATTATCACTGTCTCAGCCCTTGCAGCCCTTTCAATCTGTGCAAGGAGCTTAGTCT